AGGCCAATAGTGGTCTGACTTTTCTGACACTAATGTCAATTAAGTCTAAACATAGTAAGAGGGATTTGGTTCTACTAACCAAATTGAATATATTTGAACTATAATTTGAGGGATTTTAGTTATGCCTATTAGGTAATAGTTTTAATATATGGATTCATATATATTTGAGTAATAATTTAAAGAGTGCATTGTTTGCACTTTTAATAAGGAACTTACATACAAGGTTTGTCTTGGGTGGCCACAAGACAAGTAGATCTCTGCCCTCAACCACCAGAAACTTAATTGGTTCAATCATATATACTGTCCAGATGGTCTCAATAACACACTGCACTCTCAAGGCTGTGTCACTGAAGAAAGCTCCCACTATGAGAATGGTGGACAGAATGTATATTCTAGGGACAGGGAAGGGGGTAAAGAGCCTCTAATTGCCCAGGTCCAACTTGCAGTTCAAACAGTGATCACATCTTCTTGATTACTTCCTTCAACAACTTCTCTCATTGTAAATCCCTTCAGATTTTTCCTAATTGGAGTTCCTTCAGTTTCTTGAATTTGTATGTCCATTCTTTTCTCAGCAGATTTGGGAAGATTTTGGCAATTATTTTTCCAAATAGTTTCTTTTCATTCTGGGACTCACATAATGCATATATGGTTTCATTTGATGGTATTCCAAAAGTGCCTTAGGCACGCTTCATTTCTCTTCATTCTTTTTTCTTTTTGCTCCTCTGCCACAATTTCAAAAGTCTTGTCTTTGAGTTCATTGATTTCTTCGGATTGATATTGAGTACCTTTAGTGAATTTTTCAATCGAGATATTGTATTCCTAAGTTCCAGAATTTCTGTTTGGTTCTTCTTCATTGTTTCTATCTCTGTTGATATTCTCATTTTATTCATGTATTATTTTCTTGATTTCATTTCATCTATTGGTGCTCTCTTTTAATTCATTGAGTATCCTTATGACAATAATTTTTAACTCTTTTTCTGGTATATCTCTGTTTCTTTAGGGTTGAGTGGCTCAGTCGTTAAGCATCTGCCTTCAGCTCAGGCCATGATCCCGGGGTCCTGGGATCGAGCCCTGCATTGGGCTCCCTGCTCTGCCAGAGGCCTGCTTCTCCCTCTCCCACTCCCCCTGCTTGTGTTCCCTCTCTCGCTGTGTCTCTCTCTGTCAAATAAATAAAATCTTAAAAAAAATTTTTTTTCTTTTAAATGTGCCATTTTTCTTGTTTCTTACTATGGGTTGTTATTTTTTGTTGGGATTTTAGCATTTGAAGAATCACTCCATGCTCCCAGGTTTTTTGATTTGCTTTTTTGTAGGGAGAACTTTCTCTACTCAGGCCAGGTAGAGATTCTGGAGATTGCTTCAGCCTTTTCTGGAGATGCATCTTCTCTGTGCTTGAAGAACTTTGCCAATTTCTTCTCAAGAGCTCTTGCTGGTGTTGCTCTGTGATACTGTGTCCTCTTTGGTGCTGTGGTAAGCTGCAATATTGGAGTTTTACCTAGTGTTTCTGTGGTAATGAAAACTTTAGTCCATGTTTATGGCCTTTGTTCTCAGACATCCCTATCCTGGCACACCATTCCTGTCAGTATTTGGATTCAGGTTCCTTGGGCAGCCCCCTAAAAGTCAGAATGATGGACATAGGTTTCATTCCTTTCTCTCACCAGGGAGAAGGGAGTTGGGGGTTTTCTCCTAATTGTGCCACATTGTGTTAGAGTAACAGTTTCTGAATTTCTTATAAAGGTACTTGGACTGTATTTTGTTAAATCTCTGTCTTCATGGGAGGGGCATTGAGTTGTATGAGTTCCTTATATACTTTGGATGTTAGCTTCTTATCAGATATATGGTTCTCCTATTCGGTAGGTTGCCTTTTCATTTTGTTGATAGTTTACTTTGTTGTGCAGAAACTTTTTAGTTTTATATGGTCCCATATGTTAATTTTTGCTTTTGTTGCCCTTGCTTAAGGTGTCAAATAAAAGAAAAAATAATGGTCAAGACTGATGTCACTAAGTTTACCCCTGTGTTTTCTTCTAAGAGTTTTAGGACTTTAGGTCTTAAATTTAAGTCTTTAATCCATTTGGATGGATTTTTTTATGTGGTGTGAGATAGGGGTCCAGTTTTATTCTTTTGCATGTGGCTTTCCATGGTCATATCATCAATTAGCCTGGCCTGTTTTCCTGGCTAAAATCTGTGATTGTCCAAGTCACCTTCTTTGTTCTTAGTGGTTCCCAGCAGTTGAAGGTGTGCCAAAGTCCATCAGTGTCTTGAAAGATCTCAGCCAGCACCTAAATGCAGGGTGGTTGGAGGCTGGACCCCATAGGCAGGAGCTAGGAAAATATGTCGACTACTTCCAGGGAGAAAGTGGTAGTTTTGAGTTTTTGCCTATTTTGCCTGGGCTGGGGTATGTAGCCACAGGTGCTCTTGAGCTCATTAAGAACTTCTTTGTTTACTGCAATCCTATGGACTCCTTGAATGCAAGTCCCATTGGCTCTCTGAGCAAGGCAATCCAGGTGTCCATATCTTGGGTGGCAACTGATAAAAGCAGAGAGAAAATCAATACAATACACTGCAAGCAATGCAATGTGATACAATCCAATACAAAAGCGGGGAGAGGGGGAGAAATCACATAGTTAATGCAGTTGAGGAAAATGGAGGACAAAAGGCAAGAGAGAAGGTAACTTCTCACAGTAGGGACCATATCTTAGTCATTGTTATATACCAAGCAGGGAAAACAGACAATGTAAACACATTTATTGAGCACCACCTATATGTCAGGTATGGTATGGTATTGTTCCATGTACTTTAATCTTTGTAATCTCACTGCAAAGTGGTTATTAGTATATTTTGAGGAAAGAGAGTCAGAAAGGTTAGGTAACTTACCCAATGTGTGGTATACAATGTCTTTCATACATTAGGCCTTGAATCAATTATTAACTGAATAAATGACTACATATTTATTGATATGAGAGATACCTTGCGAATTTTCTTCACTGTGCTTCTTCTTTCTAATCTTTCCTAGAAAAATGCTAAAATCATTAGCTGCAGCCAGGGAACGGATTGTGATCATTGGTATGGAGTCCCAGAAACAATAACAGTAGCAGCAACATATAGACTTCTTGTGAGTTGGCCACTTTTCAATTTACATATATTAACTCATTTAATCCCAATGACACTATGAAGTCAGTAAAATCTTTATTATTTTACGGATGAGGAAACAGAGGTGCAGAGAGGTGAAATAGCTGTTAAAAAAGTCATCCTGTTGGTAGCAGTAAAGCCAAAATTTGAACCTGAGAGATAAGCCCAGGTCGTACTTAACACCTCTGACCTATCTTTCTCTGGTACTTTGCTGCCTTTCACCTAGTGTCATCTTTGGGTTTGAGCCCAGATCAAGGTTTCCCTAATTTGTTTCCCTGAGTTGTGGAGAGTGAATGAACAGGAAGGACAGGAAATAGTGATCAGAAAATGGGATTTTAAAATTGAGAATGTAGAGAATTTGAACTTAATGACTAAGGCTATAGCAACATAGTCCAATAAAAATATGTGATTCATGTATGAGATATTTTAATGAGATAAATTTTTTATATAATTCTTCAGAACTTTACACTTACATATTAAACTAGTCACATTTCAAACACCCAGTAGCCACAAGTGGCCTAGTGACTATTATATTGGATGGCACAGTTCTAGAGTATGACCATGGGAGTGAGTGGTTGGGTAGAGAGACCAGGGTGTTAGAAAGATCACCTATGCGAATACTGGAATCACCAAGAATGTTACTCAGTCACTAAAAAAAAACATTTTAGACCTATATGTAATGAGTTGAAAATACCTCCAAGACACATAGTGAAGTGAAAATTAACTTTCCAGTATGTGTGGATAATATTATTTTTAAAAATATGTTGTTACAAAAGAATACTGCAAGGAAAGAGGCATGCTAACTTGATAGTGGGTCTCTCTGGAGAATGGAGAAGAAATAGGATGTGGGAGTGAAGGACTTTCAAATCTTGCTCTGTATATTTCTGGGTCATTTGAATATGTTACATTGAGATGGTATTCATGTATCATCTTTGTATAATAGTTTTTTTAAAGAGTTAAAATATGAATACCATTGATCCATTTATCAGTTTGACTTAGTTCCCCCCTAGTCACCTGCCCTTTCCTGTTTCAAGTATAATGAATTATTCTATAATGAATTATTCTGAGAACTAACTAGTTTTATTTTAATTTTTTTCATTAGCACTAGCGTATATCCCAGTTTGTTATCTATGATGTCATAAAGCACCTTGGTAAGACTTCCATTTTGCTTTGGGTTGCGTGGGGCCTCAGATGACCAAATCTTATCTCAAGATATACATGGTTAAGACAAGGAGAATGAACTGTGGGGCTCCACTCTGTGCCTTATTCATCAGACAGTGCTCATTTCCTGAACTGAGATAAAGAAATGCTAAGACTTAAAGAAGTATGCTGTAATCTCTTTCCTTAAATTCTGAGCTTTTTGAGGGCAGGGACTAAATCTTTGGATGCCTGGTATCTGTATTAATGCACAGCATAATAGGCACCCAATAAAAGTTCCTTTAACAGCACATTTGTAAATGGTAAGAGGCCAGAAAAGTATATAGAATAAGAGTGTAGGGTAGAGGAATGGGCTGTATGTTAACTTCTATGTGTTGCTTTCTTACAGACTTTCAACTGCTCCTTCCAAATATAGGTCAAATATCACTTTTTCCCCTTAGTTTTCCCTTCTTCCCAAGTAGTTAATAGCCATATCCTCAAGGTGCTCACAGAATTATTTGTGTATTTCTCAAACCTTCTCTTGCTATGTGTTCACATTTTAAATTTCTCTTCTAATTGTGAGTTCCTTTTGGGTTAAGGACCATTCCTTATTACATGTTACATGGTACCTGAGACGTAGGTGCTTGATAAATGTCTGATGAATGAATATATAAATGTATAGAGCAAACCTTGACGTCTCAAACCCACTTCCACACCAATGAAGATGAAACTTACATTTAAATACTGAATTACTGAATATTTATTGAGTACCTGCTGTATACCAGGCAAAAGGAACAGAAACAAACTGTCCAGAGTTACTTTTAACTGCTTCAGCAATGCCTGAGTCCTCATCATAAAAAAAAACCCATTCTGCTGATTTAGTATCCATTCATTCTTTGATTAATCTTCATGTACATTTTTCTCAAGTGTACTTCCAAATCTTGCATAATGCTGTAGACCATTAAATATTCCAAATACCGTCTGAAGGACTAGAGGAATCATCATAGCTTTTATCTCTGTTTGACAAAGCAGCAGCCAGTAAAGTAAAACCCTTCCTTTTGGTGGCAGTGGAACAGTATGATACCTAAAAAGGAAAAATAATTATGAACTTCTTCTGGATGTATTTTCTATGAAAAGTTCAACGATTTCCCCCAAATGGATAATTTCTATTCTACGGTCTTTCATGTAGATAGCAAAAAGGTTTAAAGCTAGCTATTTGAAGTACCAAACTACATTCTAATTAAAATGTGTCATTGGCAGCTAAAGAATAAGAAAAGTTTATGAACATTTAAAAAAACAAACAAAAAAAAATGGAGGAAGGAAGGAAGAAAAGGAACAGACGGACTTACTTAACTGCCAGGCGTCCATTTTTAGAAAAAGCCAAACCACAGGGATATAAAACACCACATACTATGCCAATCAGTGAACTTCTCAGAACACAATTTTCCTGGCTTATATTGCCTGGAAAACAAAAGTAAATTTAGCTGACTTTTAAAACTCAGGATAAGAACTATTAAGACAGTCTTGTGTCCTCACAGAGTAGTTATCTGTACTGTCCTCAGCCTTAGTGAAGCGATAGAAAGAATGTTAGAAATTCAGTCTAAGGCACATGATAAACTAAATGCACCATGTTTGAAAAATACTTTTATTATACTTAACATAAGGAGAGTTATCTCTTATATATATATATCTCTTATAAATTGTTGCAGAAAGCAATTTCATAATGAAAAATATTAAACTATCAGACCCAGACATCTGGATTCTAGGTTAACACATTTTTATTGTCTATGTGTCAGGCATGTATTAGTGATATAATGTTGCATAGAAGAGACCCAATCTCTAACCTTTAGGTGAGTCCACCAGGAAAGAAAGAATAAGACAAATATTTAAATAAATAATTTCTGGGGGCACCTGTGTGGCTGTCGTTAAGCATCTGCCTTTGGCTTGGGTCATGATCCCAGGGTCCTGGGATCGAGCCCTGCATTGGGCTCCCTGCTCTGCGGGAGGCCTGCTTCTCCCTCTCCTACTTCCCCTGCTTGTGTTCCCCCCCCTCTCTGTGTCTCTCTCTGTCAAATAATAAATAAATAAATAAAATCTTTAAAAAAAATAATTTTTTAAGTGTGCACAATGCTTTAAAGGTAAAATGAATAGAGAATGTATCTAGAAACCTAACCTACCCTGAGGGAATCAGAGAAGGTTTCCCTGGGAAAGAGATATTTAAGACCTGATAAATAGGACTTAGAGGTTCCATCAATTACTAGTTATGAAACTTAAGGTAAGGGGAGGAGGCAGGAAGTAACATCAGAAGCCCACAATAAGCCAGATATCTCATTAGGCATTTAACATATAGTATTTTAATCATCACAACAGTACCAGTAGTCCTAATTTACAGATTAGACAACTGAGTCTCAGATATTAAATGACTTGCCCATTGTCACAAAACTTAAGTGGTGGGAGGCAGAATCTGAAATTGTGTGTAGTATGCCAAAGCCTGCTTTTTCCCCAGTATGTTATGTTGTTTCTTAGCATACGTGAACATGTCTTAGCTTTGGCTGTGTATCTGTAAGGAGGACACAATACTACTAGCCCCGCCTAATCAGGAGGACTGTTGTGGGGATGAAATAGGACAATATATGTGAAGGTACTTTTTAAGTGGCAAAGCAATATACAAGCGTTAGTGATCATTATCAACAGTAGTAACAGGGTATGTTAAGGTGTAATTTTACTTAAACATAAACACATTATACATTAATGAATTTAAATTTACCCAAATACAAAGCGTCTGTTACAAGGAGCTTATAAGTGACTACAGTAGACAAAAATGGAAGTGTAGTCAGTGATGCATATGTCTTCAAAGCATCATGTTTAACCTTGAAGCAGTGTCTGAAAATGAAGTTGGCCATTATTCCAGAGAAACTAGCTGCTGTTCCAAAGAACACTGTGCCATATATATTTAACGTCCTAATAGGAAAAACAAAGAGAAAAATTACATTCAACGTAATATTCTCTTAATGGGTATATCCTTTCTTGGGTATTCATTTATTATTACATATTTACTCAACATCAAATATTTCTATGTGTTGGGAGGATGGGGCAGTGAATAAAGAAAAAAAAAATCCCACCTCTCATGGAACTTGCATTCTAATGAGAGGATAGAAGCCTCTTTCTGAAATCACCTAGAGTGGTTCTAAACTCTTGTAAGAGAGAAAATTTTGGCCACAAATAAAAATGAATATGTTCCAGTATAGCCAAATTTATGAGATATCTAAGAATACTGCTTTTCCTACTAAAAGGATTAATTTGCTTAAGTCATATGAACAAAGTTATTTACATTTGGTTAGGCCCTCTAGCAAATAACTATTTCTTAATTAGTGCAGATATATTTCAAATAATTTGTCTAGGATATGCAAAGAGATTTGACAGATCTAGTTTTACTGATTCTGACTCATACCTAAATTCAGAAATATCTAAGGTCTAAGATTAACGTCCTTTTATTTTATTCTTGAGCTGTTAATCTAAGTTGAAATGGTAATACAAGACTCTACGTACATTATGGAATCTGAATTCCTTTTTGAATTCAGCACTGCGCTGAGTTAATTCTAAACTGAATTTAATTACAGTTGAACATCAATTAAATACAAGTAGCTCCCGAAATAGTGTTCTCCTAATTGCTTTTAATTTAAAAATGTTTATTGTACAAATAACATTTCAACAATAATTTGGGGCATTTTCTTTTTTAAGAAGCAAAAGAAATTATCCAGTCCCAATATTCCAACAAACTACTATTTTCATCTGTCTATGTTTCCCTCCAGTTTTTTCATACACTTTCCTTATAACCAACTCAATAAAGTTAATAGGATCTTAGATCCTAGAAACAATGGCAATACAGAAGATGTGCAAATAAAGTTATTGACTTTCAGTCTGGGTGTGTCTCTTACTTTTCTTTTCTAAGATATTCAAATTTTTTTTCTATGATTTCGATGACCATTGGTCTTCTGAATTCTGTATCTCCTAAAGAAAGACTGGGCTGACCATGTGTGTATGTTGCCATTCTGATGTCCTGGAAAACACAAAATTTCATAACCATAATAGCAATGATAAATGATAAATGATAATGATAAATAACAAATAAATGATAACGATACATCTTATAAATTTTAGATTCAGATTAAAAACCATTTAGATCCTAGTAAAATGTCATCTGCTTTCATATACTTTGTCAATGATTCAATCAATATTTAGTAGCTCTTATTATCTGCTAGACAGTGGCTTTTTGAGAAATTGGTAGAATAATGATCATCTCTATTTTTATACCTTTATAGATGAGAAAAATGAGGTTCAGAAAGGTTGACTTGCCTTAGGACCTAGTGTAGAAGGATAACTTACTGAGATACTGAGTTTTTGTTTTTCTTACAGTTTTCCCCAAAGGTAGCCAGGTCCTTTGTAGTTCTTGCTCTAGCTTTTTCAGAGTTAGAGGGAGACAAACCCTACCTGTTGACATGTCTCATGAAAGTGTGAGCTCATTTTGGAGATTATGTTGAGTTTCCTGGAGAAGGAGGAGAGCAGGGATTGCCTTGGAGAATAGTGAGAGAGGGACACTGTTCCAGGCTAGGAAGAGGTAATGCTCATGGATGGATACCTTGGATTATATAAATTATATATCCAGCTCCCTAGGAGCACCTGGGGCAGAAGCACAGCCTTTGCTGGAAACTATATGTAGTATACCAGGGAGCCTGGACCCATGGCACTGGGCTCCAGGTAGGAAGGTTCCTATGTCCTGAGTGTGATGTATGAACAGACAGTTGCCAATGTCAAGGGACCATGAGCATCTTAACAGAAAGTAAAAAAACAGTGATAAACAAAACAAAACAAAATTAGATCCTAAAAAAGGATCCTTTCTGAATGTTTTGCTTTGGGTAAGACTCTTGGGTCTCTGTGAAAAGTCTTAACAATAACATTTGTTAAATCTTTTGCCACACAGGCATTATGGGATTCCAGATTAACCGACGAAGAGATTAAAAAAATTATGGTCCTTCACAATTTATATTGACCTCCATTTTAACATTTATAGTAAGGGCATAGACTCGATCTCAAATTTCAGAAGTCCTGGGCAAGAAAATTAGAGTGGATTAAGCATAATGAACTCAGAAGATAATAAATCAGTGATTCTCAACCTTTAGTTTGCATAAGAATCACATGCAGGGTTTATCTGAAATGCAGTCTCTTGAGCTCCCTCCTGATATCTGGATGCAACAGGAGTAAGGTGAAGTCTAGAAATCTGCACTTTAATAGACCAAATGATTCTGACACTGGTAATCAGTGGACACATGCTGTAATCGTTGAACATCACTGTAATACTCGTTTGCTGAATAAGTGATATGTACCAATCTTAACCCTAACTAATGAAAGGGTAATTCATCCATGGCATCAACATTCTGAAGGTATGGGCTCCTTTGAACTTTCATATATTATTACACCGTGAGTAATAATGGACAAGTTTCTAGCTCTGCATCATTGTAGAACTGGACTCAAGACAGTACTATTTTTTTTCTTTAAAATATCTGAGAGGACAGGGAAAAATTATAAATAACAATTTCTTACAGACTAGATTTAATCTTCTGGCTCTTTTGGACATCTAAATGGAAAATGGAAGATATAGTAATATCTAAGGGCGATTCTATATCTAATCTATCTAATGTACTATGAAGGCAGGGACCAGTAACATGGTAATTTATCATGTTTATTTAAAATAAATGTTTATTTTGCCATCATCCAATTCATTTAAGTCCCTTACCTCCCACAAAGAAGAGTCTCAGGCAATGCCTTGTACCAACCTTCTACCTTGTCTGCACTGTCAGTATACAGGGAACCCAGACACCCAGTATTATGATTCTAAAACACTGAAACAGGACAAATACTGAGTGCAAATATTTATTTAGCACCTAGTCTTTGGAAGGCACTGTTATTAAAGCAGAGAAATAGACTAGTAATTTTTTGATAGACTTTTAACAAGTACTGAAATATAAAGACTGTGATAACCAACTTTTTTAATTTTTTCAAATTTTTATTTAAATTCTAGTTAGTTAACATATAGTCTCATATTGGTTTCAGTAGAATTTAGTGATTCATCACTTACATATAACACCCTGTGCTAAGAAGTGCCCTCCTTCATACTCATTACCTATTTAGCCCATCTCCCACCCACCTCCCTCCATCAACTATAACCAGCATTTTATCTAAAAATTGACTAGTCCAAGGCCACTCAACTGGTCACCACGATTATCCCAGTAAGAGTGTATGTATTCAGGTTTATAGTCTGCAAAGCATTTTACAGTTTTGTACCGCTTTTATGTGTATTATTTTACCTGACTTTTCAGAATTTTATTTAATACTCATCATTTACACAGCACCTGGTATTTGACAGACTCCAGGATAATTAAGATGCAGTTGTGTCCTCTGGAATCCACAACCCAACCGAGGTCAGGACAAAAAGGCAGGTAATTTAAAGGCAGAATTAGTGTGCCATAAAAATGAAACCAAACCAAACAAAAAGCATAAGAAAAGCCAAACTTAACCTAGCCGGGGGAACTGTGGGAAGGTTTCCAGAAGTAAATGACGGTTACACGAGTATCTGCAAGAGAACAATTTGGTAGGGGTGGGGAGGGGAGCAAGTTACACGGAAGTATTTCAAGTTGAAAACTAGCGCAAAGGCCTAGAGACAAGAGAAAAAACCGCGAGCAATCGGGACTAGACTTTAGGTCTCCTACTTCCTCTCCACCTCTTTCCATAACAACTGGGAGCTTCATTGCGCCCTGCATGGACTTGGAGGCTGTTCTCTTTAGATTTTGAAATTCCATCATTTCAGAAATGTCCGTTAATATACTGAGGATGAAGAAATCACGACTCATACGGCCCCGGATTTCCGCCTACCTTGGGCACTTCCCCAGCTCTCACCTGCACCACATCTGCATCCTTCAAGTCAGCCCCTGCCTCACGCCCGAGCGCCGCCATTTTGGCGGCTCACATGACTGGCGGTGGGCGGGGACCCAGAACGCCAGAAGCGGGAAGTGGTGCCGGCTCACGCCTCTAGCCTGCAGCCCCGGCCCTCCCCGATCCAGTCAAAAGCCGCGCCCTCCATCCTGGCTGTGATTGGGCGTGGCGTCCAGAAATGAGGGCCTCTCATTGGCTTCGAGGAGGTCCAGACGCCCGTGGGCCCGCCTTCTTGTCAGCCCTATATTCCCTTACCCTGTTATTTGTTAACCTAGCTCCCTCTTCTCTCCTGCTGAGAGGGTACGTGGGGCGGTCCGAGCGCAGGGATGTTGCTGCGCGCTTTTCTCTCTTCTGGGCACCTCCGTTAGCTGGGGCCGACCTGCCCTCCCCTTTCACTCCTTGAGAGAGTTCTACCCCCTGGCCTGGTTCGTGTGTTAAGGCTTCGGCTTCCCCGGCACCTCCTCCCCAGAGCCCCCAACCGGCCGCCAGAGCAGCTCCGACTAGCCTTCTCCCCCTCTCAGCGGTCTGACTCCTCTCCCAGTCTTTAGTCCCCTCATATTCCATCCTTTCACCCCGCTTGGAAAGGGACCAGAGAGAAAAATCCCCCCACTTCCCAAGAAGACCCCTTTGCCAGCCGGTATTTCGGGGTGGGGGGCGCTGCGAGGAGGCCTGGCGCCCTTTTGTGCACGTTCAGTGCCCAGCAGTATCTCCCAGACCAGCAACCCCCGACCCTCCAGTCTCCATGTCTTAGAGAAGCCAAATTCGAGAGTTATATAATTTCTAGTGCTGCTGTTTCTCCTGCCTGAGGAAACACTTCATCGCGTGGAGGGTGCAGGACATTTCTGTGCACTTCTATATAGGAACGGGGTGTGGGCAGGGGTAGCCAGCGGTAGCAGAGAGATTTCTTGTCTTTTCTGCAAAAGGAAGGTGGGTAGTTGGGAGAGAGATTCAAAGGGTGGATGTGGAAGCCAAGCAGCAGAACTCTAATTTAGGAAATCGCGGACTGTTTGCACAGCTTGTGCTCACATGCCTAATACTACTACATCGTCTCAGAAAACACCTTTGGGGGAAGGTTTGACTTCTCTCGAACAGTCTCAGTGTTTTTCCTCGCCGGATAGGGAGCTGTTTGGATGCGAAGAGATGGCATGATGTGAATGACTCCAGTGTGAAGAAATCTGCTTCGCCAACTCATCCTGCATCAAGTGCCCATTGAGTAGCACTGTCACTTTAATGTCTCCATGCCAAGGGATTGCTTTCCTTCTTTTCAATCCTCTCGGTTAATACATGGGAGGATCAGAATCAGAGGGGCATTAAGGATTAAGCCGAGGGGCTTGGAGAGTACAGAAGAAAAAAATGAAAGTGACAGCAAGCTGGATCCTGTCTGACTGAGGGGGTGAGATCTGGAACTTCTGGTCCAGTAAATAAAAAGGGGCCTTTCAGTCAGTCTGTGTTCTGCCCCAGAAAACTGTTCAAACTCACCCATCTTTTTAGAGACCAGAGTCAAAAAGGTTTTTAAAAGTTATTTTTTGTTGGGGAGGGGATTAAATTTTTCTCTGAAGAATTGAGGATCTTTATCATCAACCAGTTCATCTTTGAATTTGATCATGTACTGAGTAATGAGACAGCTGTGTAAATTTGGTTTGTGCCTTAATTGATTTAGTCATTGAATTCCAAAAATGTTGATGTCTGAAGAGGAGTTTTAATAACATTTTCTATGCTTACAATAATTTTCTCAGTTTTTTTTTAACAGAATAAATATTTTATAAAAATTGAAAAACTCAAGGTTATTTTTTTCCAAACTCTGGGCAGTGTCAAAAGTTTAATTGTGGAAAAAAATACATCATTTTTTCTCTGTCTGGAAGAGAAGACAGCCTGGATTTCAAAATTGAACAGTGAAGTGGTTTGCAACAGTTACCTGGCTCTTGGCCTCAGTCCAGCTGGATCAAGTTGAAACCTGAAAAGAGATCTTGCATCCTGTGGCAGTGGAAAGACCCAAGAATGCCAGTCAAGAAGAAAGGTGGGCTATGAGGCTTCCTATATAATATATGTTTGTCCCTTTTCTTGATTCTGGTATTTGCTATTTAAATTGTATTCCATTTGAGAGTAAAATTTTGCTTGGGTTTTGGAAAATATTTATTGTAATGCTGTCTTTTCTGTGGTACTCATTCAGTAATATTTTGCTAAAGTATAATAAAGTAAGACTATAGTATTTATAGACATTTGTGATTTCATAACTCAGGTTGTCTAAATTACCGTTTATAATCAGCATAGGTTTGATACCACAGATTGGAGCTTTTCTTCAGCTTGTTTTCTTAGCTTGTCAAAGATTACTTTTGAGCTCTTCCTCGTGGACTTAATATTTATTTATTTAAAGGTTTTATTTATTTGAGATAGAGAGTCAGAAGAGAGCATGAGCGGGGGCAGAGGCAGAGGGAGAAGCAGACTCCCCGCTGAGCCGTGGGGCTTGATCCCAGGATCCTGGGATCATGAACTGAGCTGAAGGCAGACACCTAACTGACTGAGCCACCGAGGCATCCCAGACTTAATATTTATCAAGTGATTTACATAGTTGTAAAAGATAACAAAGTTGCACTGAACGTAATTATAGATTTATTAATCTTTTGATTAAAGATAAATTTCAGGGGCACCTGGGTGGCTCAGTTGGTTAAGCAACTGCCTTCGGCTCAGGTCATGATCCTGGAGTCCCAGGATCGAGTCCCACATCGGGCTCCCTGCTCAGCAGGGAGTCTGCTTCTCCCTCTGACCCTCTTCCCTCTCGTGCTCTCTAGCTCTCATTCTCTCTCTCTCAAATAAATAAATAAGAACTTAAAAAAATAAATAAAAAAAGCTTAAAAAAAGATAAATTTCATATTTGGGTTTACTCTAGGGTAGATACTCACTTTTGTGATAAAGTACAACTTTGGTAACTGCTGTGCTTTTCTAGATGTATGTATCATCTAATAACACGATTGGCAAGTTTCCAAAATGAGGTAAACCCCTAATTCCCTCCTCCCTCCCCAGAATGGATCAAGATCCAGTGGCTTTCTAAAGCATAGTTTATTATAGGTTGGGCCATGGAATTCACTTTGACCCAGATCTACCCCAGGTTAGCTTTGTTCTTAAAGATCCTAATGAAACCATTTTTTTTTTTTTGACATGGTGTGGAAGATCAGACCAACTATAAAGAATTTTCTCAAGAGTTGACCAAAATTTATTCAAACACCCTTGCACTCCATATACGGGACTAGCAGAGATCCAAGTGCTGACCAGTTATGTGAGTTGCTACAAACTGAAACTAAAGTTCAGGGTGAAGATTTAAGGGCAACCTGGCTCTGCATGATGTTTAATCCTCTACCTGTGGATTTGGAAGGTGCATTGAGGAAACTTATAATCAGTGAGGTGCTTTATCCACCTGGTATCTGTAGAGATGGACAGTGATATATAAAACCTCTGAGACACCTAGAAACGTTCCTTTGTGCGTTGGATTTGAGACTGGGATTGTTTCCTTCTCCTGCTCTCTCCTGTAATATCACTGAGATAAATAAACTATGAGATTTTGGAGCCATACCTGTCTAGATCTGACACAATTGGTTTATCTGGAACAAGAATGGTTTTGGTAATGTAGCCAATAAATGACATGACTCTTTGATTTACCATGTGTATGTATGTATGTATGTATTTATTTATTTATTTATTAAGATTTTTATTTATTTTTGGACAGAGAGAGAGAGACAGCAAGAGAGGGAACACAAGCAGGGGGAGTGCGAGAGGGAGAAGCAGGCTTCCCTCCTGAGCAAGGAGCCCGATATGGGCCTAGATTCCAGGACCCTGGGATCATGACCTGAGCCGAAGGCAGATGCTAAACGACTGAGCCACCCAGGCGCCCACCATGTGTTTTTATTCTCTCTACCCCTTATTGTTCTCTGGACATTGTCCCTTCTGGACTGCCTTATTTT